GGTTAGGGTTAGGGTTAGGGTTAGGGTTAGGGTTAGGGTTAGGGTTAGGGTTAGGGTTAGGGTTAGGGTTAGGGTTAGGGTTAGGGTTAGGGTTAGGGTTAGGGTTAGGGTTAGGGTTAGGGTTAGGGTTAGGGTTAGGGTTAGGGTTAGGGTTAGGGTTAGGGTTAGGGTTAGGGTAAGGGTTAGGGTTAGGGTTAGGGTTAGGGTTAGGGTTAGGGTTAGGGTTAGGGTTAGGGTTAGGGTTAGGGTTAGGGTTAGGGTAAGGGTTAGGGTTAGGGTTAGGGTTAGGGTTAGGGTTAGGGTTAGGGTTAGGGTTAGGGTTAGGGTTAGGGTTAGGGTTAGGGTTAGGGTTAGGGTTAGGGTTAGGGTTAGGGTTAGGGTTAGGGTTAGGGTTAGGGTTAGGGTTAGGGTTAGGGTTAGGGTTAGGGTTAGGGTTAGGGTTAGGGTTAGGGTTAGGGTTAGGGTTAGGGTTAGGGTTAGGGTAAGGGTTAGGGTTAGGGTTAGGGTTAGGGTTAGGGTTAGGGTAAGGGTTAGGGTAAGGGTTAGGGTTAGGGTTAGGGTTAGGGTTAGGGTTAGGGTTAGGGTTAGGGTTAGGGTTAGGGTTAGGGTTAGGGTTAGGGTTAGGGTTAGGGTTAGGGTTAGGGTTAGGGTTAGGGTTAGGGTTAGGGTTAGGGTTAGGGTTAGGGTTAGGGTTAGGGTTAGGGTTAGGGTTAGGGTAAGGGTTAGGGTTAGGGTTAGGGTTAGGGTTAGGGTTAGGGTTAGGGTTAGGGTAAGGGTTAGGGTTAGGGTTAGGGTTAGGGTTAGGGTTAGGGTTAGGGTTAGGGTTAGGGTTAGGGTTAGGGTTAGGGTTAGGGTTAGGGTTAGGGTTAGGGTTAGGGTTAGGGTTAGGGTTAGGGTTAGGGTTAGGGTTAGGGTTAGGGTTAGGGTTAGGGTTAGGGTTAGGGTTAGGGTTAGGGTTAGGGTTAGGGTTAGGGTTAGGGTTAGGGTTAGGGTTAGGGTTAGGGTTAGGGTTAGGGTTAGGGTAAGGGTTAGGGTTAGGGTTAGGGTTAGGGTTAGGGTAAGGGTTAGGGTAAGGGTTAGGGTTAGGGTTAGGGTTAGGGTTAGGGTTAGGGTTAGGGTTAGGGTTAGGGTTAGGGTTAGGGTTAGGGTTAGGGTTAGGGTTAGGGTTAGGGTTAGGGTTAGGGTTAGGGTTAGGGTTAGGGTTAGGGTTAGGGTTAGGGTTAGGGTTAGGGTTAGGGTTAGGGTTAGGGTTAGGGTTAGGGTTAGGGTTAGGGTAAGGGTTAGGGTTAGGGTTAGGGTTAGGGTTAGGGTTAGGGTTAGGGTTAGGGTTAGGGTTAGGGTTAGGGTTAGGGTTAGGGTTAGGGTTAGGGTTAGGGTTAGGGTTAGGGTTAGGGTTAGGGTTAGGGTTAGGGTTAGGGTTAGGGTTAGGGTTAGGGTTAGGGTTAGGGTTAGGGTTAGGGTTAGGGTTAGGGTTAGGGTTAGGGTTAAGGGTTAGGGTTAGGGTTAGGGTTAGGGTTAGGGTTAGGGTTAGGGTTAGGGTTAGGGTTAGGGTTAGGGTTAGGGTTAGGGTTAGGGTTAGGGTTAGGGTTAGGGTTAGGGTTAGGGTTAGGGTTAGGGTTAGGGTTAGGGTTAGGGTTAGGGTTAGGGTTAGGGTTAGGGTTAGGGTTAGGGTTAGGGTTAGGGTTAGGGTTAGGGTTAGGGTTAGGGTTAGGGTTAGGGTTAGGGTTAGGGTTAGGGTTAGGGTTAGGGTAAGGGTTAGGGTTAGGGTTAGGGTTAGGGTTAGGGTTAGGGTTAGGGTTAGGGTTAGGGTTAGGGTTAGGGTTAGGGTAAGGGTTAAGCTTAGGGTTAGGGTTAGGGTTAGGGTTAGGGTTAGGGTTAGGGTTAGGGTTAGGGTTAGGGTTAGGGTTAGGGTTAGGGTTAGGGTTAGGGTTAGGGTTAGGGTTAGGGTTAGGGTTAGGGTTAGGGTTAGGGTTAGGGTTAGGGTTAGGGTTAGGGTTAGGGTTAGGGTTAGGGTTAGGGTTAGGGTTAGGGTTAGGGTTAGGGTTAGGGTTAGGGTTAGGGTTAGGGTTAGGGTTAGGGTTAGGGTTAGGGTAAGGGTTAGGGTTAGGGTTAGGGTTAGGGTTAGGGTTAGGGTTAGGGTTAGGGTTAGGGTTAGGGTTAGGGTTAGGGTTAGGGTTAGGGTGAGTGTTAGGGTGTGGATTAGGGTTAGGGTTAGGGTTAGGGTTAGGGTTAGGGTTAGGGTTAGGGTTAGGGTTAGGGTTAGGGTAAGGGTTAGGGTTAGGGTTAGGGTTAGGGTTAGGGTTAGGGTTAGGGTTAGGGTTAGGGTTAGGGTTAGGGTTAGGGTTAGGGTTAGGGTTAGGGTAAGGGTTAGGGTTAGGGTTAGGGTTAGGGTTAGGGTTAGGGTTAGGGTTAGGGTTAGGGTTAGGGTTAGGGTTAGGGTTAGGGTTAGGGTTAGGGTTAGGGTTAGGGTTAGGGTTAGGGTTAGGGTTAGGGTTAGGGTTAGGGTTAGGGTTAGGGTTAGGGTTAGGGTTAGGGTTAGGGTTAGGGTTAGGGTTAGGGTAAGGGTTAGGGTTAGGGTTAGGGTTAGGGTTAGGGTTAGGGTTAGGGTTAGGGTTAGGGTTAGGGTTAGGGTTAGGGTTAGGGTTAGGGTTAGGGTTAGGGTTAGGGTTAGGGTTAGGGTTAGGGTTAGGGTTAGGGTTAGGGTTAGGGTTAGGGTTAGGGTTAGGGTTAGGGTTAGGGTTAGGGTTAGGGTTAGGGTTAGGGTTAGGGTTAGGGTTAGGGTTAGGGTTAGGGTTAGGGTTAGGGTTAGGGTTAGGGTTAGGGTAAGGGTTAGGGTTAGGGTTAGGGTTAGGGTTAGGGTTAGGGTTAGGGTTAGGGTTAGGGTTAGGGTTAGGGTTAGGGTTAGGGTTAGGGTTAGGGTTAGGGTAAGGGTTAGGGTTAGGGTTAGGGTTAGGGTTAGGGTTAGGGTTAGGGTTAGGGTTAGGGTTAGGGTTAGGGTTAGGGTTAGGGTTAGGGTTAGGGTTAGGGTTAGGGTTAGGGTTAGGGTTAGGGTAAGGGTTAGGGTTAGGGTTAGGGTTAGGGTTAGGGTTAGGGTTAGGGTTAGGGTAAGGGTTAGGATAAGAGTTAGGGTTAGGGTTAGGGTTAGGGTTAGGGTTAGGGTTAGGGTTAGGGTTAGGGTTAGGGTTAGGGTTAGGGTAAGGG